ATGTTTTGAAATGTTTTATTTTAATTGGCAGAAATGTAATCAAAAACAAAGTAAAGTTTTGCAATAGTTTTAAATTGCAAGAAACTAAAGCAACAATGAAAAGACAATAATGAAATCTCTGTTTTCCTGCTCCCGTGTTTGTTTACAACACAGAATTTACACTTTGACACACGTGATCTATAAAAAAGTAGCTGTATCCAAGCATAGATGAAATCATAGTTTTCTTTTGAAAAATATATTCGCTATGTAAGCGAAGGATGGCCAGCTAAAAGGGCAGATTTACCAGAGAAATGTGAAAGTCGCTGACTGTTTTTTCCGTTTCCATTTTGGAATGTGTTCACCAACATACCCAGTCCTTTCGCAGACGGGAACACCACTCGTTTCCAGCTCTATCTTCAATATGGCGGTGGTGCTACAAATCCCGTGGGTCATTCCCTGGGGATCCTGCTACGAAAGTGCAAAAGCAATCCAATCCTCCCATCTCAGGCTTAAAATTGGTGACCAAAGTTAACTAATCCCACACCATGCCCACGTATGTCCCTGGGGTCACCCCCCGTGATGGCCATTGATAAGTGCAATAGAGTCAGTGTGACATACATGTATGGGTTTCTGTGAGGGTTAACCCTTACAGTGAGTATTAAGAACTAACCATTATTGAGTCAGCAATATTTAGGCTAACCGTAGTGACAATTTGTACTTTCACCATTTTGTGTTTTAAATAATGCCCCTTCTTGACCTTCCAAAAACTGTTTTTAAAAGTAGAGTTCCACCAATTCAAATATCTTTCAGATACCCAAGCATCTTCCCCTGAAAATGCCCAAAATTGACCAAAATATGTGTGCAAAATGCACTTTAAGTCATTTCCTTTGGATCTAGGAGATTTGGTGACCAGTACGGAAGACTGGGAGATTTGATCTGTATCCAGGAGACTCCTGGACAATCTGGGAGAATAAGCATAGATGAAACTTCCAGCAAACTGACTAAGTTTGTTACTGCTGCCACTTGAGAGATGTAAACTCATTCAGTGGTAAATAACCATGATACTATACTAACTGGTAACTTTCCTCCTAATTTATTATCTTACAGGTTTTGTACACTGAGATACAAAAAGAGCAGACATGCCTGAAGCACACTATAAATGCACTCAATGTGGAAAGTGTTTCAGCAACCAAACAAATTTTAAGCGTCATACCATAATACACACTGGAGAAAAGCCTTATAAGTGCTCACATTGTGACAAGGATTTTAATGACTTGAGCAATTGTCACCGGCATGAACTAACGATGCATAAAAAGAAGTCCCATAAGTGCAAAAAGTGCAGCAAGAGTTTCAGATTTCCTTCAGAACTTGAGATTCATGTTATCAGAACACACAAGCAGAAACCTTACAAGTGCCAACATTGTCGCAAGTGTTTTAGATATCCATCAGAACTGAAAAGGCATAATGGAACACACAACACAGAAAAGTCTCCATTGCAACTTAAGAAACATACTAACAGAACACACAAGCAAAAACCTTACAAGTGCCAACATTGCAGCAAGTGTTTTAGATTTCCATCAGACCTGAAAAGGCATGACGGAACACACAACACAGAAAAGACTCACCAGTACCTACAGTGTAGCAAGTGTTTTGAATTTGCATCAGAACTTCAAAGACATTCTCTCAGAACACATGCAGCAAAGAAACCATACAAGTGCCAACATTGCATCAAGTGTTTTAGATGTCCATCAGACCTTAAGAGGGATTTAAGCACACACAGAAATAAGAAAGTGAAGAGGAATCACGTGTGCCAACCTTGCAGGAAATATTTTAAAACTGCACCGGATATAAAGAGGCATCATAACAGAATTCATGGAGCAGAGAACTCCTTTAAGTGTGAAGAGTGTGACAAGTGTTTTTGTGACTTAAGCAGTCTGCAGCTTCATGAAAAGTCACACACAGTTATGAAGCAATCAGTGAAAGAGCGTGACAAACATTTAAGTAAGGCAAAAGATCCTCAATGGCTTAGCCCAAAAACTTTTAGGTGTAATCAATGTGGCAAGCATTTAAGTAGCATATATAGACTTAAGATACATGGAAGAATGCACTCTGGACAGGGACTTCACAAGTGTGATCAATGTGGGAAGTCTTTTAACCGAGCAACAAACTGTATTCGACACAAGAGAATACACACTGGAGAAAAACCATACAAGTGCGACCAATGTGGCAAGTGTTTCAACCAAGCAAACATTTTAAAGCGGCATGAAAGAACACATACAGGAGATGACTGCAGTCAATCAACTACTCAGGATTTCAGAGGTCTTGGTGCCGCAAAAACGTCAGGGCAAGGTAAAAGAAGAAATCAATTTGCAGCAGAAAAGCCATACAAATGTAAAGAGTGTACCAAGTGTTTCTTTCAAGCTTGGGATCTTGAGAGACATAACAGGAGGCTGCATGCAGGAGAGACAGACACAGCAGAGAAACTTTATAAGTGCAGTCAGTGTGACAAGTGTTTTAACCATCCAAGGAAGCTTAAACTACATTACAGAACACACACAGGAGAACAGCCTTATGAGTGCAAACAATGTGGAAAGTGTTTTAGCTTATCAGGAAATTTGAACCGACATTACCGATTACACACAGGAGAAAAACCTTACAAGTGCACATACTGTGAACAGTGTTACAGTGACTCAAGCGGTCGCCATTACCATGAAAAGAAGCATCACCCAGGAGCGAAAAAATTCAGGTGTAAACACTGTTACAAGTGCTTTATTGACTTAAGAACTTGTCAGCGGCATGAAAGATTACATACAAGAGAAACAGGAAATCAGTCAATCAACAGATGTCGTAGCCATCTGGAAACTCTGCAGCAGTCTAACAGAACTTGTACAACAGAGAAGCCTTATAGGTGCAAACAGTGTGGCAAATGTTTCCCTTGGCCAAGCAAACTTGAGAGACATGCCAAAACACACACCCAAGAGAAGGTTTTTAAGTGCAAAACCTGTGGGAAGTGTTTTCGCAACTCAAGACATTGCTTGCAACATGAACAAATACATACAGAAGCCAAGTCAGGAAAATGCCAGAAGCAGAGTCCTCAGCAATCTACACCAAAACACACAGAAGAAAAGCCTTATAAGTGCAAACAATGTCACAAAGGTTTCCCAACCAGATGGAGACTAGCAAGGCATGAAATGATACACCGAAAAAGGATGCCTTTTAAGTGCAAACACTGTGGCAGGGGCTTCAATACCTTAATAAATCGTAATAAACATGAACAGACACTACACCAAGGAGGGAAGCCTAGCAAAGATTGCAGCCAGTTAAGAAGTCAAAGGGCCCAGAGGAGAACGCCTGGTACTACAGTAGTTCGTTCTGATGGTTCTCAGTTTGTAAAATACCTCACTCATGATTCTTCAATTCAGGATGTTAAGTCAAGTGAAGCTGAATGTTGGATTTGCTTAAAGGAATTCAGTAGTCACACACTCCTTCTTGAGCATATTGACAGCCACATGGAATCAAATTAGTATATTATCGCAACACTGAATCAGCTTTGGGTGTTATCTTTTTTGGTGGGATGAGGGTGCCTGAAAAAAACTTGAGATATTTATAGTGCAAATATGTTTTCAGTTTTATCTGCCTACTTATTTTATTTTATTCTATTTTTGGGAAGGGGAGGGGTTAGACTTTGTTAAAGCCTTTTCCAGTAATACATGTACTTCCCTGCCTTGTTGGTTTTGCCATTGCCCTCTTGCTTTGCTCAAGGGCAATGGTCAAGCAAAGGTCAACTTGTGGCAAGTCTAGTTTTTGGGGTGTTTTCCACCACTCCCCCACCAGACCTTAGGCAAAAGTTGGACTTAGATGAAATCCATTTTCATTCATTTTACCACTGTGGAAATGTCAAAGTTTAATAACATTTTTGTCGTTTTTCTGACTGATGTAAATTTGTTTAACACTAGTGTAGATTGGTTTAAGAGTTCAACTTGTGCAAACTTTTACTAGAAAGACCTTTTTTGTAATGCTAAGTAAAGCTCAAGTGGCAGTAATTATGCAGGGATCCATGCTGGTTTTTTTCTCCAAGTCATCAGCTGGGCAAGTATGCCAGATGACATCTTGGCCTCTCAAAATTTTACTTGCCCATTCACATACTGTGAGATGATCCTGCAATGATTTCAATCATCACATCATCCAAGATGGCTGACCAAAATGACGATTTTATTGCAAAAGAAAGCTGCAAATCTTTCTCTGCTTTCTACAAGTTCCAAATGGATAACAAGTGGTCAGAATGTAGGAAACTCAAGAAAATTAAAGAATTTTTTTTCTGGTAGGGTCAAGCTAGACTTGTCCAGCAGACGATTTTCCGTATTGTTTTGGTTGTCCCTACAATTTGTTAGTCTTCAGGGACGACCGGATGACTGTGAATGTGGATCTCTGATTATGGTTGTACATGTGTGTACATATGGGGGCAGCCATCATGGAACTGGGATATATAATATTACTAATTATATTATTATTAATAATATTACATGGAAATCTCACTGTGTGCATTAAACCTGGGTACATTACAGCAGGATTCAAAATACTTCTGTAATTACAGTGAAATTTTTTTCAGTTACAAAATCTTAGCCAACCCTTTGCAAAGTGGAAATTTCAACAGAATGCCATCCCCTAAAGGGATTCATGACATTAGCAGGTGTTTATAATGGGTACAGTGTACTTCCATGTAAACATCATTTTAGCCATTATGATAGTAAGTCATCTGCCTTGCTTGTATGTGAAGATATTTCATGTCTTGGGAGACTCCTATATTATATTTTATCTTTCCTTTAAGATTCCTTCAAGATTTTATAGTCTTTGCAGAGCTCAGTTTTCGCCTTAGTTACTACAAGTTAATTAACTGTTATGATGTACACTGTGCTTCCATGATGTAAAGTGCATTTGCATTTGTTTATAGCATTGGCATTATACAAATTTACCATTATTATTTATTCTTAAATGATTAATATAATTTTCAAATGTTGGTGATGTTTCTCTACAGGGAAGAAATGTTAAGAAATCGCCTGTTATTTGACCCATTGGAGGTTTTTAACTCCTTTTATGAAAGCTTGATTAAATCTGGTAAACTTATCTTTGAAATCCATTTCACTGCTGAGGGGAATATCACATATTTGTAAAATGGACCCAAAGACTACACATGTAATTTACCATTCTGAAAGGAATTGATTGGTTGTTGAATGTCATAAATCAGATTAACAGCCGTTGAGGAAGTCACAGCTTGAATTGAAAAACATTCAAGACGAAAAATACCTTTACTCCTCTTATATTAGGGGTATAACCCTAAACTATGGCTTAATTTTCAGGATTTGATGTGTGGGTTATTGTCAGAAAATTGCATGACCTTGTAAGTGTAGTTAATAATGGTAAAAGTTGTGAAAATCGTAGGGGCAGTTAATGAAGTCTTGAGTAACAGGGGGAAATGATTTTATACATTCAAAGGACAGATCTGTCCAAGACCTTTTTGCTGCCCAAAGTGGATACAAATTGATCAAATACTAACCATGTTATGGTTGATAGTTTATCCCTCTCACTCTTGGAAATGAGGAGGACCCTTGGTCCCACCCAGATTGCCTCCTTTTAAAAAATTGTCGTCAGTTTCTCATGCATCTGTCCAATTATTGATCATGAATTTCATCATAACGTCGTCAAAGTAGCTGTGCATCCGTGAGGCGATAGCTGAGTGGATCTGGAGTCTACTTTGACAATGTTATGACGACATTCATTGTCAATAACAGGGCAGAGGCTTGTTTATATGTCTTTATACGGGGTACTTGTAAGAGTTTCTGAGTCCCAGTGGTGTGTGGGCTCTAACTCTATGTAAATTGTTCCTGTTACTTTGCTCAGCAATTCCGTAAATTGGAGTATGTCCCAGGTGCGTCCAGAGGTGCCCGTGTCCAGTCCGCGATGTTCACTCCAAAGGAGTGCAAAGAATGGGGCTGAGTGGACACTTGTTCCCACTCTCCTACCCCCGTCACTCGCAATACGCATGTGATATTCTGAGAAGTAGGCGGAAAGCTATGGCGAAGAAAAGCTATGACTATCTGTTCAAGTTACTCCTAATAGGGGACTCAGGCGTCGGAAAGACTTGCATTTTATTTCGCTTCTCCGACGATGCTTTCAACACGACGTTTATCTCGACGATAGGTAAGCAAAAGGAGCGATGTTTAGCTGTTTAGTTCCCCTAGACTTAACCTTGTAAGCCACTGAGCTTGATCAAAGCTTAATTGACTTTCGCTCTGCAAATGCATGCTGAAAGCCTCGCCATTCGTGTTGTATTTTGCTTTCTGGAGTTTTCATTGATAGTTTGTGGTATAAGGTGTTAAAATTTAGTCGGAGGCAGACTTAAAATTGGTTTGCATTTAAATATTCAAGCGTTTTTAGTTGCCCAATTTAGCATTCACGACCGTTTTTAAAGTCCTTTTTCCAAACCTGAACCATTTAGCCCTTTGCTCAGGCTTAGAGCGTAAAACTCAAAGAAATCTCTCAGATTCTTATCAACTGAAAGGCGAGTTACAGAAAAATGGTATCCCTGTATTTTTCATGTGGTAGAATTTCAATGCTGCATTCTAAAGTCCGAAAGATCACAACTATTTTTGGTGTCGTCGTTGCACATTCCTTAAACATTGCAAAATCATTGCAGACGTGCCTGTGTTTTTTCAACAGTGAGATATCTGTTTCTAGTCCAACTGCAAACAACATTTCCGTGTTTTTATGGAGGAGAGAACATTTTGACGCCGAATTAGTAAAAGAGTAAGGTTATAGATAGGTATTTCTGGTGTGAAAGAACCATTATTCCGAGCTACACACTTAAACTTTCCAATATTTCGATCGAAGTAAGGGTTTGTGGGATGTCTGCAATAACTGGTATTATATGATTTTAGATTTTACTGAATTTAAAATTGTAGTAAATATAATTCCACAAGGGATTTGATAACCAAATTAATTACATAATTAAATTTTATAAAAACGTCTTTCAGGTTTATTTCTGTGATCATTAATTTGCTTATAACCATGTTTTTGAAATACAGGAAGTTGTGTATTTAGTAAAGAGGGAAATAATAATATTCGTTTATTCCCTGAATGGACTTTGATTCTGTTTTCAATTTTGAAGTTTCCAGTTCCTGTTGTGTTAAGTCGTACTATATGTTTATGGATATCATGTATCAAGGTTATGTGTCAAACGCAATAATCCAATCCCATTTCTGGTTTTTGTCAACTTGAAGTTTGATAACAGATTGTAGTAGGAAAATGAGCATAGTGTTTGTAAGAAAATGTTACTGACAGAACAGTGGAAGCAGATAAACGTTGTGGATAACAAAAATTAAATTCTCTATGCAGATGTGAAATACAAAGTTGAACTTTCCAGTGACTGTCAAAGTGGCAGTTTTTGTGCAGTGCATGTAACTGCTGTGTGATCCTAAAGAGGTGTAATTATTGTAGATTTAAACCTCATTGAACCACTAGTAACCCATTTCCTCCTTTTTGCTGCCTAATTGCAAATTTTCTTGAAAACGTTTCTTTTAAACATTTTTTGAATCTGAGATCTCCTACCCTGTCAGAATTTCCATTGACCTTCTATGTGGTGGGTATGGAAATTTTCTGGAACTATCCATTGTTAATTTATGAAAATAGAAAATTACTTCTTGATTGGTTAGTATGCTGGACAAAACTGTTCTGGGTCGCTGTTACGAAAAAAAATTATAACAAACAAAGCAATGCAAATAATTTTGTGATTGTCTTAAACCTTATTAAATTCTACACATGGAAATTTATTTTCATATATTTCATGCACGAAAGACTTGCATTACAGCGTATCTAAATTTGCGGACTGAATCACAAAAGTACAGAAAATTGCACAATTTGTGAGAAAAAAAAAGTTATAGTTTACATCGACATCACCAGAGTAGTTGTGCAAAGAACATCGTTACGTGTTTGTGGATTTTTTTTTTTATGCTTTGAGATGGCATGAGGAACAAAGCGATAACCATCTAAACAGCGTATATAATCCTGTGATGCATCTGCAGTTTAAAGAATCAAAGATTCACGGTTGTGACACTACCAGTGAAGGGCCACAAGGCAAACCAAACAAAGTTATTCGAGAAAATGGCAAGCTCCTGGTAGATGAGCCCAAAAACAGGTCTGGAAACATTTCTAAAAGCACAAATAGCAGTGTCTGAGGTTCTTGGCCGACAACGCTTTAACACAGCAGTATTTTGTGCAATTGTGATTTGTGCGAACTTGAACTAAAGGCAGCCACCTTCAAAACAGCCGATCTAGGGGCAAGAACAGTTTAAAGACTTCAAAGAAGATCAGTTTCTGAAGACAGTATTGTATCACAGTGCCAATTAAGTGTAAAGTCTTTCTCATGTTTTCTTGTCAAAATCTTGACAAAAATATCCACAGGCACGTGAAGAGTTTCTTCGCAAAAGAACACTCCAAATGTGACTCTTTTTTCTCAGAAATCACGTGATTATGCATACTTTTGTGACACAGTTACCAAATTTGGACAAGGTGTAACGCAAGCCCCTCTTGTGTGATCCATATAAAGATAAGTTTCCATGTGTGGAATTTAATGAAGTTTAAGACAATCATAAAATTATTTGTGACACTTTATTTGTTTTAATTTTATGTCGTAAAATGTCGATCCAGAACAGTTTTGTCCAGCGTACTAATTAAAGGGACAATTCATCACACCTTTATTTCAAGTAAAGTAGGGGTTTCATTAAGGGCTGAGCACGGGGCTAATTGACCAGCTGTGAGGATGATTTTGCTGGCCGTGTGTGACCATCTAGAAGAACATTTTTCTTTTAAAGAAGTTCAGATCAAAACGTTTTTCCTGTCTGTGAAAATTAGTTTTCTCCTGCTGAAAATGTTAATGAAACCCTCTGTAAAGGCTGGCATTTTGATGCATTGCAACAAAATTATATTTTGAGTTTAACATGTTTTTTCTGCCTGTGAAAATTAGTTTGCTCCTGCTAAAAATGTTAATGAAACCCCTGTGTAAAGGCTGACATTTTGATGCATTGCAACAGTTATATTTTGATTTTAAAGATGGCTTCTTGTGAAACAAAAAATATATGCACAGTGACTTGCTGAGACAGGTGAAATCTACTTCGCCACTCAAATATTATATTTCTGTGACTCTCACAAGTTGGCTCAAAAAATTAATTACACTCGCATTGTTTTATATTTGCAAATATTCAGAGTTAATTGCATGTATACTTATTGAAGTTAACTTTACTCTCCAGGTATCGACTTTAAGATAAAGACTATTGAACTTCAAGGAAAAAAGATCAAGCTACAGATATGGTTTGTTTGCTTGTTTTATTTATCATTTTAAAGCTAAGTTCACAATTCGTTACCTTGCTCTAAAATGGTAAGGGTTTTATTTAATTAATTTGCACATGTTTTTAATTTTGTCAGTCATAATTACTGACAAAATTATGATACATGGGCAATCCTATGATAAGCTCTGAAAGTAATTTTGAATTACACTACTTTATTAAAGACTTGATAAATTTCAAAAGAATTTTCCATGATTACTTGTGGTGTAAATCCTAAATGCTCAATTATACAAAACTCTATGTAACTCAAATGGGAGACTCTATATTTTTTGGTGTTAAAGGTGATTGAATGACATCCTTATAGTCATTTGTTACATTGTTTGACCACCTTTCCACACTGCCTTGCAAAGTTTGTAAAGAACTTGGAAACTAAATTGTTACCAGCCAATTTTGAGGTTAAAGTTCATAAATTGGATTTGAACATGAGAACTATAAGAACAGTAGTCAAATACATCTCCACTGAATTGCTCTTTGGGGAAGGCATTTACAGCAGTTCTAGGTTGAACATGTCATGATCTTGGATGTCGCAGTCTTTGTTACCATTGAGTGGTTGCATTGTAAGGCAAAATGTCTGGTTAAAGGTGCATTGGCATTCATCGAGTAGATCCACATATTGGCTGGAAAAATCAGGGTCTCTACAGGCTTTTAGCCAGGATTTGAAAAATGGGTCCAAAATGTGCTATAGGGCGTGCGCAAATGAGCAATTTACAAGGCAACATATATGAAAAATAAAACGATTTTTCTGTAATTAGTGGCCATCCACAGGATGCCTGGATGCCTATCTGACTAAAAGCCTGGTTCTTTTCCTATTCCAGTGATTATATCAATGGTTGTATGTCTTCTGGCAGATAACAGTGATCACTCTAATCTTGCTTACAACCAACATTTTCACTTGTCATAATACAGCTTTTCCCACCTATTACCTGGGGATTTCATTGATGTTTTTAGAATGAGTAGAATTGGTTTTCACAAACAGGCAAAACTTTTGGAACTGAACTCCTTTATAAGAAACACTTTCCTCTAGATGGTCAAACCAGGGGCCCGTTTATTGAAGGTCCCGGAAAGTTTTTGCACCCCGAAAGCCATAGCAAAATCTCGAACCTTATGATTACAGAGCTGTTTAATCAGGTATTCTTAATATGGACAGAGGTTCCCTTCATACAAGAAGTTTCAGGCATATACACTTCTCCGATTTTAGATACAGATGAACTAAAAATGGCTTTATGGGCCCAAAAAGTTACCAGGACTTTCGAGAAACGGGCCCCAGGTGTGCAAAATTATCTCCACAGCCAGTCAATTTGCCTGGTGCCTGGCTCTTATTGAAACCCTTGAGTGACCAAATAGTTAGTACAGTACATAAGGCGTATAAAGTAGACAGAATTCTCCATGAAATAATTTTACCTATTAGTAGGATGCATATGGGCTCTGTGAAATTTATTTAGAAATGTTGCCTTCTGTAGAGTTCTTTTCTAATGTTCATGTCTGTCATTTCTTTAGGGATACCGCTGGGCAGGAACGCTTCCACACAATAACCACATCATATTACAGAGGAGCAATGGTAAAATGATTCAGCCCTTTAACCCTAAAATAATGAAATAGAAACTACAAATAGCAGCTTTCATTTGAATGGTCACANGGCATCTTGGGGTGGTATGTATTAAATTGGACTGCTAGCAGTATGGGGCAAGATGTTTCAGACCAGACAGAATCAAGACTAGAAGGGATTGGGACGAGACATGGGTGCGGCACTCTCGCGTTCACGGATGAACCTCATCTGACCTTGAGAAAAAAAAGACCGGCTGTAAGGAGTCTATGTGTAAATGTTTCAACGTGACTGCTATTACATAATTCGATCTGCCTTAGCAAGGAGCTCAACATCCACGTCCATAGCTTGAGCTCAGACACCTGTGCACGTGTTATATGCACAGCTACACCAAATTGTTAATGTGTGTGCAGGATTTTAACTGTTCCTAGCTAGAGATGGATTACCTTACAACTGATTACAATATTAAGACGCATTCATGTACATATTAATATGCAGGCATATTAAAAAACCCGGTTATGACCATGTCGATCATGTTCATTGATACGAAGTATGCATCACAATCTCGCTTTAAAAAGTTTTCTGTTATAGATTCTAGAGGAGATCAGAGTAAAAGTCCTCAAGAACATTTCTTTCAATAAACCGATCTGGGCAAAATAATCCCTGCCGCGCGTAGAAACTGGCGACACGAGTTTTGTTATTGTTATGGTCCAACGGTGAATGGAATTCTTGTCCAGCCTGTCACGCAAGACAAACCCGCGTTTTTGGCGGGTAGTTTAAGCCAATCACAACGCGAGTTTTCAACGCACCGGTTTCAAGACGAGTAAAACGAGCTACGCTCTCCTGTTTATAAATTCAAGTTTTACATCATCGTAGTAGAGGTGAACACGTCGTAGTTGGCTTTGTGGTGAAGAGTGCAGAAGTGCATGCTCGGTTTTCCTTGTTCCCAAGACAAAAATGGCTCCGGTAAGACTTCACTTTCGATTATTTAATGTTTCCGTGATTGTTTAATGTTGTGAATTATCTAAATTCTATTTCATGTCGGTTTCATAGAAACGTGGTATTCTTGAAAGACTTGACGCAGGGGAAGTTGTTATTGGCGATGGCGGTTTCGTCTTTGCGTTGGAGAAACGTGGTTATGTTCGAGCTGGTCCTTGGACGCCAGAAGTTAATGTAGAGTATCCTTCGGCAGGTAAATTTGATAGCCTGACTAGAATTTCGTGAAATATTTCCTGCCTGAGTAAAACTTTGAAAATCGTGACTTCACATTGTTTTGATCGACAAACACTCTTTGATCGCGCGGTATAGTTATTGAAATGGAGCAAAAGGTCGGACGAGGGTGTTGTACTTCATCGTATAATCAATCGTTTTGTCCTGTGTTTATGTTCAAAACATGTTACAAGGATGCCGGGAATTTTACTTTTAACTTAGTAAGCTTATCTAGCTTAATTTGTGGCTATTTTACTTTCGAAGTAATCGGCAGTTTAAAAACGGAAAAAAACCGCCAAATTCCTAGCGGATAAGTTGATGGCACGGCCCTCTTTAGTTACTCTTCTTCTTCTTACCGAACTTAACTTTCTTTCCAAACCTAACACTGAAATATTTACAGCTTGGCATTTGACAAAATAATATTTTTCTGAGGTTTGTTGAAAAAAGTGGAAGGACAGTTCTTAGCAAAACTCTAAATCATAGTAAACACAAACGGAGCTCAAATCGGCAACGCGTTTTTTTGTATCCGAAAACTGGAGTAAGGGTTATTTCTCTGTAACTTTGGTTGATGGACCTGACCGGCTACCGTCGTGCCTAACAGGTCATCTATTCACCGTTTGTCTAGGTCTTTGTATGAGGAAACCGGTTGCTCCGGTCGCAAAATTTTGAGAGAATATAGAGAAGTCGTGCATGTGTTCTGAACAAAAGCGGAATTCGGAATTCAATCGCACAATTCAACTTCCTTACCTTGTGGTTTCATTTTCTTAGAAGGGGAAACTATAGCTTCTCATTAGTCAAAAATTAAGGACATCCTTTGTCACTTTTTGCATGAAAGCGTAAGTTATCCCATTGTATTACATCACAAGCCCCCACAAGCTGTTAGCTTTATATCTCATCATGTTGAAATAAAGGCTTCCTATCCTATCCTATCAATATGTATAAGTACATTTTTTGACATGTCCCATGTATATTTACCACCCCCATCACAACTTAGGACCTAGGACTCTGCAACACTGTAGTGGCCTATTAGAAATCAAACTAGGGGAGGGGATAATTTCTCCACCCCCTCCCCCACCCCCCAAAAAATAATATTATGCAACAGGGGAGGATCTAGAGAGAAGGTGCAGGGGGTGTGCACCCCGCCTCCCACTGAGATGGAGCCTTCTTCTTCATATTTGCTTTCAAAATTTGTTTACTTCGCCAGTCAGTTACACCATTCCTTAGTGGTGCACCCCTCCTTAGAAAGATCCTTGATCTGCCCCTGGGCAATAATATTATTCTCCTCTCATAAAAATTCTTCAAGCAGTTGAGCAGCAAAAAATTCTTTCAAGCAAACTAAGAGATTTTTTCCCCTTGACTAGGTAATTATTTCATCCCCACCCTTACCCCTCCATTGATTAATTTGCTCCTTATTAATCAATCTCATTCCACTCCACAGTTAAAGAACTTCACAGAGAATTTCTGCGGGCTGGCTCAGATGTGATGCAAACATTTACTTTTTATGCCAGTGATGACAAACTTGGGAATCGTGGAAACACAGCAGCACAGATTGGGGTGAGTTTAACATTACTCATTTCAATGTAGCTATTGTACATTGAGTTTTATAAAAAGAGAGTTTTGGTTGCTATGGAGATGTTTGACTGCACATGTCTGCTTTGGGACTTGTAACGGTTGATTTTTGAACTTCTGACGTTTGTAATAATTATTAGTATTTGTTACGCAGTGCCAAGCCATCAACCAGGCAGCATGTGACATTGCCTTTGAGGTAGCCAATGAAGGAGATGCTCTGGTTTGCGGCGGAGTATGTCAAACACCAACATATTTGAGTGGTAAAGGAAAAGAGGCTTGCCAGAAAGAATTTGAGAAACAAATAGAAATCTTCCTCAAGAATGATGTAGACTTCTTACTTGCAGAAGTAAGTTTCACAGTAGTACATAAATCAAGCATGTGACTGTAAGCCTTTGATTACGAGATGGTATTGCCAGCAATAATTATTACAGATCATTAAAGCTAAACAATTTAACATTACGATAAAATCCATTCAATTAGTGTATATGTCTAATAAGTATTTTTACACTTACCACAAGAAGAGTTACAGGTATTTTTGTTTACATTTATTTGAAATCTTGTGTTATTTCCAATTCTTCAACTCAAAACATTTTTCGATATGTTCTTGTTATTAGTGAGTGCAAAAATCTAATTGGCTGGGCCAATAAGCAATACTCAACTAGCTAGCTCAGAAGCTCCAGAAGAAAGCAGACACATTTGATTGTGATACATTTTATTTCTAACTTATAAAACTGTAAAATTGTTCTCAGTACTTTGAACATGTGGAGGAAGCTGAATGGGCAGTGGAATCGTGTAAAGCCACGGGCAAACCTACTGCCGTTTCACTGTGCATTGGGCCCCAAGGAGATTTGCACGGCATTCCTACTGGGGAATGTGCGGTGCGCTTGGCTCATGCAGGTACATCAATGAGTCCAGAATAGTTTTCAACAACAAAATTGCAAAGGTTAAGACAGGTTAGGATCAATATTTCACAATCCAATGTTAATTGTTTTTGAAAATTTCATATAAACTTGCAAATCAAACCAATGATTCCAAAAAGATACCATATGCTAAATATTCTGAAAATAGAATATACCAGCAGTTTCTTAAACATTCAGTTTACCTAATGTGACATTTAACCAAAGCAAAAGGTCAAAGTACATCAATTTCAGTCTTTGTGGATCATACCTGATGATACAACTTAAACATCCTTACATTTACTACGTAGAGCTTAAAGTTTTCACCTAACACTTAATTAATGCATAATATTCTCTACACCTCATTTATGCTAATACATACTCATTTCTTCTAAGTCTCATGCTTTGTTCCGTCCATTAACAAACCACGTAAATTGATTTTCAAGGTCTAACTGTTAAAGTGTTGCATTTTTCTAGGTGCAGATATTATTGGTATTAACTGTCATTTTGGCCCTGATGAATCCATTGAAGCATGCCGTTTGATGAAGGCGGCCCTTGATGCAGCTGGGATTAAAAAGCACTTGATGGTTCAACCTCTTGGATACCTTACTCCTGATGCTGGCAAACAGGGGTTCATAGATCTTCCAGAATTTCCTTTTGGTTAGTTCCTTTCACTGTTTTTCTCTCTTAGGAGTATATTATGTAAAAGAGCAAACTTGCAAAACAAGAACATCATTCACTTTAAAAGGGTGTGTGGTTTGATTCCTTTTTTCACACAATTTCTGAAGCTTTTTTCTCGGAAAGTTGTTGGAGAGTGCAGTAAAAAAAATGCCAGTTAACCACAAACTTGTTCTTTGCAGCTCTAGAGCCAAGACTGATGACTCGATGGGATGCTCACAAGTTTGGTCGTGACGCTTACAATGCCGGAATACGCTTCATTGGTGGCTGCTGTGGGATTGAACCCTACCACATCAGAGCTGTTGCAGAAGAGGTGAGTTCCCTTTATTGCAATTCAAAGGAAAACAGTACGTTGCTAGTCATGATGTGTTTCAGTGTGATTTGCTCTCTGTGAATTCCCGCTATTTGTGATTTGTACAAAAAATGTTCTCTCTAACCATTTCCCGGATTTCAATATGCACAAGTCAACAATTTTCATCTTGTTTGTTACTCAGCTGGCAAAGGAGAGAGGAAAGCTGCCAAAAGCAAGTGAAAAACATGGCCCTTGGGGAGAGGGGCTAAGGTTGCACACTAAGCCATGGGTTAGAGCCAGGTAATGAAAATGTCTGTGACTTAAAAATCATAGTTAATAGAGGGGATGATTATGAAGTCCAGCAAACATCAAAGGAGAAAACAAAGATGCCAAGATTTATGATGGAAGTTCTACCTACAACTGTGCACAATCTTTGGTTTTTGCTCATACACAATCCATGAATTACATAACCATTTTTCATGCACGATCAAGGCCAAAAAAGCAAACAAAAACTTACAACAAAGATCCTTGTCAGGCTTCATACCCATTCCTCTTTATTAGCTATAGTAAAATGCAGTATTGCATTTGTGCTAATATGATGTTAAACATTTCATGGGAATGACAATCAGGAAAAATTAATTTTCAGGATGTCTTTGGTATCAAAAGTTTTGCTTCTATTGCACTGAAGTAACTTATAAGTTGATAAAATTATTATTAATTCTATGGCTGAGAGGTAACCAAATAAGCTGTTACTATAGCAGTTTAAATCAATACAAAATTGTTTTTCACAAAGGATATGGAGCTTGTGTAATTACAAGCTAAATAAAATTGTGTTGTACTAACAGGGCACGTAGAGGTTATTGGGAGAACATCAAGCCATCAAGCGGCCGACCATTCTCTTCTAGTATGTCAAAACCAGATGACTGGGGTGTTACTCAGGGAGACAAAGACTTGATACAACACAAAGAGACAACAACTCAAGAAGAGATGGATTCTGTCATCAACCGAGCCACAAACAAAGAGGAAGTTGTCAATGGAAGTAACTAAGATCTTGAAGTCATTGTAAATAGCCTATAAAAATTGCTGTATCATAGACGGAGTTTAGAAGAGTGTCTTTGGGAATCTTTCCACGGTAAATTGTACTTGTCAGTAGTAATGTCATTGACATATTTTGATGATTGAAATGGAATGTTATCCAAGTCCTACTTGGATCGTATTTTAATATTCTTTTTAAATTGCAATTGCAATAATGATATTTGCAGTTAGTGGCGGCTGGTCTCTATTTAAAGATTTGAATTTTGCCAAAGAAAACAAGTGCTGTATAATATATCCTCTTTTAATCGGCAAATCCACAGCTAAATACCTAGCAGTGACGTGGTTGAATTCCGTACATGATTTCCATGATTGATTAAGATAACAAATTAGATATTTTTTTTATCTTTCATTGCCCTTGTTAAATGTTTCATTAAATTCTTTGCTAAATGAATTTCAGTACGGGTCAGTTGTGTAAATAAGTATTATACGAATGCTGTCATGTTTTCTGTAACATATGGGATTCAAAATTGCACTTTGTAAGATTGTAAATTAAAAATAAATGTAGTCTCGCATAACGTCATGCTTTGTCAAACTTAATCAATGCATTCTCTATGAAATACTTAAAAGGTGATGTGCCCTTATAAACACCTACGCCCTATCCCCACCATTGAAATCAATGCTAAAATGTTGAGCATCACACTTTCCCTCCGAGTCTCTAAAAGTAGTTTAGACAGCAGAGAAAGTACAATTCAAAGTAGACAATGGAAATGAAAGGGAATGCACATAGGAGCTGCAGCTAAGATGCACCAGATTAGCTCACTGCCAGCTATTTTTGTGTCCATCCTTTGCTACAGGTCAGGGTCACTGTTAATATTCATACCCAGATCTCACTTGGTTTGACACGTGGCCGTGGCTATGACTAAACATGGGAGGAGAATGTAGGGACTGGGACACAAGGACTTGGGGACTCCGGGAGGCAATAAACAAACAGCACCTGATATTTGTGCTTAATGTGTAAAGTACATTTTTCAGTGGTGGATAAGACACGAATGTTACAGGTTTAACATGAAAACGCATAGACTTTTCTAAAAGTCATTCCAATAATTCCTCCCTGGCCTGATTGTAAGTTTACCCTCTCACTTTGCTCGAGGGAGATAAATAAGTCAAGGATTAAGAAAAGGTCAACTTGTGGCAAGTCTAGAAAACACAGTTACTTACCACGAAAATCCTCCATGCCTGCCCATGAGGTTTACGACCTTTTCTGAACCTTGAACTCTCACAGTAAAATAGGCATGCAAACATATTGGGCCGAACCATGGATGCTGGGAATCATCAGGTACTGCTCAGTGATGTGCTCTTCAGCATGTAATACCATTTTTACGATAATTGCAGAAATTCTCGCATGCTCATTGGCTAATTTTCATTGTCAATAACCNATTTCCCTAGTCTCGTATACTTCAACTTGTGATATCTTTACCCTTTTATATACCTCGATCGAAGCCTGGAAAAGGTGCCCATTTCAGGCGGAGCATCCCCGTATAGGTCATTACAGGACGTACCCCCTCCCCCGGACTTGCGAGGGTTAAATTCGATGAGTCGAGGACAACTCATATTAGATGGCTTGAAATATGAACGTAAGGAAATGAAAAGGAAAGTTGACAAGTTCTGTTTTCGAGACTATAATGGCCCGGAATTGAGCGTCGCTGGTCTCCGTTGTCGTAGCAGGAAGCGACGAGGAATATTTGTAATACCTCCAGAATGGTATGCTAGTCCATCACAGAGTTGTTTCCCAGCCGCGAGATTTAATTCACCGATAACCATATTTTCACCCAGGTAGGGTTTGCCACTTTGAGAGTAGGGTATTAAGCCTATTGACCTTGGTAAGGTCCTAAACTCGAACTGCTCGATCCATAGACCAGCGTAGTAGCCATTGGGTCTTAGCGCCTTATTCACCTTGTGCTTTCATTTCTAGGTATCTTGAAGACGAATATCTTCTTAACTGCCCTAAAGATGAGAACACTGTAAGCGGCCTTGGAAAACTTCCGCTTAATTTTAAATTCTATGACGATATAGCAGACCCTGCGCAACCGGCATTTCAAGAGCTTCCAACCGGGGAGCCTCTGAGTGGTGCCAAGACATATCAGTCCTTGATGAAGTTTTTTACAACGCTTAACATCACGCCAAGTGAATTAAGGCAGGAAGCTGTTAAGAGACGGGATGAGCTTTATCAACAGGTAACTTCGAAGCGCACAATACCGTTAACTGCCGCCTACAACCACTGGGGTTATACAGCTCCTTAAGGGATTTTAGACGGGCTTATAATAGGAGTGGCTTCAATCCCCGGGGCGTTTATAACTGGAATAAAATATACCGTTTCGAAACGAGCTATATATAGCGGCACTTGTTGATCAAAATAGGTTTTTCATTTAATAATGAGTAGTTTATGGAAACTCACTGACAGTCTTTACAGAATTAACAAGCTAGATTTACAAGAAATAATATTCAATAAATCTACAGGTAATTAAGATTTAAAACATCATAATAAAACGAATTCAAAACAGGGAAAGCTAGAGGAGGCTTATGTCGGGGGTGGGAGAGGGGGGTGATAACGGGATGTATTTTTGGTTCACTGGTAGAGGGGCATATAAGCGAAAGGGCTTATAGGCGAAGGGGCTAAGGGGCTTTTAAGCGAAGGGGCTTACAGGCGTAGGGGCTTATAGGCGAGGGGACTTTATAAGCGAAGGGGCTTATAGGTGGCAGTCCACGCTATCGAAATAATTTTTTCTTTTCATCATTTTTTTTTTTCTGTTTTACGCGCTGTCCAGATGAACAACGAAATCACATAATCTGACTGATATCACCATCACCGGGTTAAAAGAGGTCACTAAACTCCTGAATGAATGAAGACCGCTACAACCAGGGGGAAAATGATTTAGAACACTTATCAGCAACACAAACCGGTGTTTATATGGGTTTGTGCCGCTGTGAAGAGTACGGTTCTCAGGCGATTTATTTTGGGATAGGGTAAAGAAATGAGACAGTTTTGGTCTAGAATAGCGTACAATTTATTGGGAAAGTGGCCCGCGTATAAAATGAATTTAGTCTAGAACAAGTTTCTTCGCCCGGGGTCCTATATACTAGAAATTGAAACTTGGAAGTGACTTTGTAAGATATTGGTTTAGTTAGCGTATGTTGGACTACTATAGTGGTAAAGTTTCTGAATGGAAAATAGCTAGTCTGGAATAGGGTAGGAGGTTTTGGCGCCTAGTCTAGAATAGGGTTGCAAAATCACTGAGTTGATCATGGTCTAGTATAGGGCAAGGGTTTTAGTGTCCCCAACGGCACACCACTAACCAAATATTAACAGAGTACCAGCCGTGCGTACCCATATAGCTCATATATTGGGGTAGCCTCGCCCCCGCAGGGGGTAATATGACACTGATGGCAGCTGCGGAAAACATGAAAAAGGTTGCGATTAAGCGCGCAGGAAAAATCTTAATTGACGGTAGGCGTACGAAAACATGTGAGCAGCAGCAGGTGCCGGAAAGCACTGCAATTAGTGCTTACCTAATAAGTTGGAAAAGCAGAAGATGCCAATATACCCAGCCTCGTTCCCAGATTCGCTTACCATCCTGGCAGGGAGGGAAGTTAAGAGACCCTGGGAAGGAGGTCGCCGCAGTCCCTCGCTTCTTTCTGCACTGTAAGTAATGGAAAACATCTGTGTCATTAGTAATGTAAGTAACGTAAATAACTGTATCGTTAAATGTAAGCTACGTGAAAATTAATGAATAAAATAAATAAATAAATAAATAAATAACTAATATTCTGGTTAATCAAACGTTGGCCCTTTTTCTTTCTTATAAGGCTGTCGAAGTTGCTAAGTCGTACACTGGAGAGGAGACTGAAGTACTCGCTGTGCCTGCTTTCCAACAAGTTCTGCGACATGCTAATATGTCGTTCAACAGTAAGCCGTTTCCAAGCAACGAGAGTGGCAACGATGCCTTTATAAAGTGTATCGACTCTAAAAGTGCGCAAGCATACTGCCCTGAGCGATGGAAAGCCATGCAGCTGTGGATTAAGAACACTGACAAAGTGAGTATGAGTTATCAATACCAAGCTAAGGTATTGACTTGAAACAAAAAATTTACTTTTCTACCAAGTCTGCAGAAATGTTAACTCCTCTTTTAATCAGATACTGCTTGGGTGCAGTGACGACTTTTCGCGAAATTATCTAAATTGGTTGATCTTTCTTTGTTTGGCATGCATCTGATATTGATCCGATGTAACTATGAATAAGTTCCTTATAGGATAGTAAATTATAAATCCCCTTGAATGGATCGCTTGCTCTTCATTTTAATTCAAGAAGAGGAGGTTTCTTACTTCTTGGAAAGCTCATCTCAGTCTTGTGTAGGCAGGCTCACGTTTGGGTCACACTCACGAGTGTGGAAGTCGCGTGTGTGCGTGTTCGCTGCTCGCGCGCGTAATCCTAATATATAAAGGCCTAATAAAGGCCTACGTACTTTTAATTTTGACAAGTTGCGTTAATTTCTTCACAGACCATGAAAAATAACATTGCGCCAGTCATCAAGCCACTCTTTTACGAAACTGGTGCTAAGAAAACCGTCCCAGCTTGTCCAGTGGACTGCGTAGCTTGGTTCCAACCTTATGCAAGTTTCCATAGCTACAATCCTGGCGATAAAGACTGTGAACCTAAAGCTACTCAAGAACTGCCGTTTTTCGTGGACAAATTTGGTCCAAAATGGACAGAATTTACCACCACGGCCCATGAACAACTGCCTGGGCACCATCTAGAGGTTAGTAACTTCCAGCATAGTCAGGTCTTGAGTATGCCCCTCCCTTATTAAAGCCTGATTTCTCCCCCTCACCCCCCACCCCCCACCTCGTCTCAACCAGCTCTTATTGTTGGTCACCCTCCCCGTTTGGTAGGTAAATTTAGGTTTGAATTTTAGTTAATATATTCTTGTGGCAATATTAAGTCAGTTATTATACAAAAAGATAACGAAATAATGAAATTCACTCTCAAAGGAATATTGTCTTGATGTACTACGAAGTTCTCAGAACTACCGAACAGAAATGTAGTGCGACTGATAAGGAGAATTTCCCTGTTAATCAGTCTTCCAAACTGTGTTGTTTTCACTTGTGCAGGTTCATAGTTTTATCGAGTATTTTGAAGGCGACTGCACGGATCCAATCCACTGGATGAGCGTCCCTAATTTTTTCGTAGGCTTCACCGAAGGCTGGGCCACCTATATTGAGTACGAGCTGCTACCTCAAGACACCAACCTCTACTCAAACACTTTGAACAAAGAAGTACTGCTACAAAAGTACGGCATGATTTACTATCAGGTAATTACAAGGCCGTGTAAAAAGAAAGTGAAACTGTCGATAATGTCCTTTTCATGACCAGCGTCAAGAAGAAAATGGCCTCAGTGGGAGGCCTGGGCACAACCTCGTTCCCAGACTCTCTCTTTCTCAGTTTCTTCCCTGGGAACGAGGTTGGCAAGTCGATTGGCTCGAGTCTAAAACATTTTACAGTCAAATGAGAAAAGAACAAAATATGTAAACAAATGAGAAGCGTTTATAAGGTTAATTGCAAAAGGAGGAATGTAATAAGTCATTCGGGTCGATAGAATTTCTTATGTCATTCGTTAATGGTGAGTCGGCTCAATGAGCTAAAGAGTCAAGGGTCTAGTAATGGATGAAAGTGCATTGTACAATTGCCAAATGGCAGATAAGAGGAATTTCTAGCATCTACACTTTACAAGTAAAGGAGGTCTAAATAAGATTAAGAGTAAATGGGCCAATCTACGAGTTAACGATCAGATATTGGCAAAGGAGAATAATAATGTTTAAAAAAACGCGATTTAACCTACTAGTGTCCAGCCTCTCCTTAGGTACTCGGTCGTTCATTTTGGCTATTCAGGTTGACGTTTAATTGTTCAAGTTTCACATCGAATGGTAAAAAGACTTAAGTAAACAGTAAATAGAGAAAGGAAAAACATCTTGGAACATTTTTCAAAAGAGTTAGAATTTGGGCTATTATAATCCATCAAAACTGTAGTAAGCCACCTTAAGTTCTAAGATGATAAGATTAAATTACAATATTTAGAGAGCAAGCCGCGCCACGTCAGCCTAAGCTGGTTTCAAGCAAATTCTTCCTTAGGAACAAGCCTAGCGTACGAAAAGCAAAGATAATGATTTTCTTTGCTAGTAATAGATTTATTACTACCGGTGATCACTAAAGTTTTAGTCTCCTTGTTTCTAACAGCTATTAGCCGCTGTCCGTGCTATTGTGGACATCGATCTCAATTTTGACAAAAAGTCAAAATCGCAAGCAGAGGACATGTTCAGGCAATATCTATGGGAAGACAAGACTGATATAGCCAACAACGACATCCTGAGATCGCAAAGTATCCCTGGATTTGTAACAAGTTATATGATTGGCCAGATGGAATTTTCCCGCGTCAGAGACATAGCTGAGACCGAGCTTGGAACAGATTTCGATTTAAAGGAATTTCATTACGAGGTGCTACGCCAAGGGGAGTTTCCCTTGCCATACCTAGAGGAACACATACGAGCTTACATCGCTTGCAAGAAAGACCCGACTACTGAGGGTTGCAAAGAGTTTTAAGATACGTCGTGATTTAGGCAATTTGTGATCGAGTTGAATTTAGCAAAATAAGAATCATAAAATGTGTCTTATCTGTGCCCCCCTCCAAAAACTGTTGCGTGAAACATGCGGGTGTACTAATTTCTTCGCAATATCACACGCATCGACAAGGTACAAATGTTTGCTTCTTCTAGCTGCCTTCTAAGGCCCTTGTTGTACTCAGGCGGAGAAATTTAAAAACGCAGCTTTATTTCTAAGGTTAGGCCTACCGTCCACACTCAATCCGTCACGAGAACTGAGCTTTTCGAAAACGCTCTTCAAACCAAAGTTATTTGAAAACGTCGGCTTTTCGTTTTCGTGTGGACAAAAAAAAAATTGAAATCGGAGCTTTTTGAAAATTAATCGATGACGTCAGGATAATCACGCGATTTCCCTGCCCGCGTTTTTTTCAAACACAAATGCCCGATGATTGTTGCGTTTTTGAATTCCTCCGGCGTAGTGTGGATAGAAAAAAATCTGCTGCGTTTTCAGAGTTTAACTCTCAGTTTTCAAATTCCTTCGGGAAAGTGTGGACGGGGCCTAAATCTCTAACCCGAAGTTATTATGTTAGTGAGACGGTTAACGTCGCTCGCGCTCGCCCTCACGACTTCCTCGCTCGAAGATTACCCTCTCGCTTCTCGAGGGAGATAAATAAGTCAAGGATTAAGAAAAGGTCGACTTGTGGCAAGTCTATAGATTACAACGTGTGACATGCAATTCTAACCTGACTTTTACCGCAAATAATTATCAACTAGATCAAGCTGATATAATTTAGGCTATAGTTATTCTCGCTAGTAGATGGCAAGTGAATTTGGTAAGCGAAAAAATAGCAACATAAGGAAAGAATTGCTAAGTTTGTAGAATTGCTTATAAGTTTCAATTCTAAGTTACTCAAATTTTAAGCAAGCTCAAATGACGTGAAACATCATATGGAAAATTTTTAAAAACAGTTAGATACATTATTAGAGTAGACGCAAAATTAATTTAATAAGGAGTAAAAAGCACCCGGTCGTCTATAATTTGTATATATATATTTTTTAATTCCTAGTTTTAACGTTTTGCACCCATTACGTGCCTATATTTTGTATCAACCATGTTGACTTCTGCGCAGTATTGTTGAATGAGCCCGCGTTTTTAGGTAGGGAAGTTGCTTAGCAACGCAACGTATTGCNTCTTTTCTTTCCTTTTTGAGATCAGAGGTACTATGTCATTTTTACCAGTCAAATTTGACCCGAAAATTAGAAAAAAATTGCGAAAATTCCCCGTCTACTCGATTGGTAGAATGCGCGACAGGTGAAACACCCAGTCTCCTGCAAATTTGAGCTAAGACAGTTCAATGTGGCATACACGACTATTTTTCTAAGATCAAGGTCTGTCAAGTCAAAATGGCCGACATTGTTGATCGAACGATTTGCACAATTTGGACGATTTGTAAAGATCCTGAAGATATTTTTTGAAGCTAATAACAATCCGAAAGCTATGGGATGCTTTTATGTTTAGAATCTCGATTAATTATTGAATTATGTGTATGAAATCGTTTTTGGGAGCGTGAAGCTCAGAAACTTTGGAAAAAAAGCTCCGTTTCGTCACAGGCAGACCACTCTACGTGGCATCCTCCACTTCAAACTGGAATTAACGCCAAAGTACTGAAAATCTAACCTGAATGGTGACGGTTGTTGATCGATGATATTTTTCTTTATCTCTTCGCCGAATTTGAACTTCATCTCTCCAACATTTTCCGAGAAAATCGATGCTGAAATTACGAAAACAGTTCCTGCGGCAGCCCACTGTTTACAGGATTTGTTTCCTCATAGATTAAGGAAAATTATTTCTCTTTACATCAAATTCGACCAGGAGAGTGGAAATACAATTTTTTGCTTTTCCAACATTTTTTTCCTTTTTTTGCCAAATTTAATTCTTTCATTTTTTTCTCAAAAGTACCACTAGCTTCCATGAAGGCAAAATTTTTTTCTACATTGTAGAAAGTACTTTTTATGCTCTTTTAAATGACATATAGTAGATTATTCGCCTGTAAATATTTATTGAGATATTAAAGAAACACATGATACAACATTTTTTGTACCTTTTGATGGAGTCCTTTTTGGGTAGACAGAAATCCAAATTTCACTGTGGCAATTGTTTTATTTACTGGGGCAGCAATAAACCACTTCCACGATGTCACACAATATCGAAAATTTTTCCTATTTTTAATGTAAACAAAACACACCTCAATAGATCAGTGACCATGCTGTAGTCTGTGGAGTGGGTTAGGGTTAGAGTTAAAGTTACACAGGCTGCCATGCCGAATTTAGCAAATAGGCGAAATTTCATAAGAATCCATTGTAAATGCACAGAAATATAGGACCCTAAACTTCATATACTATATGAAGTTTAGGGTCCTATATTTCCGAAACAGTAGGAGGTAGTTATCTGGCCGTTCCTTGGTTACAACCATTCATTCCACTTGTGATAAGGGACTTGTCAGATCATTTTGGAATCCTTGTCAGCAGTTTTACTTGTAAAGTAAGATGATGATGGCATTTATGGGATATTTAAGAAAACAAAAACCTTTGTTATATTTTTCTCTAGATCAACTGCTTTGTGCTGGGCATGGTGGT